CCTGTTTAACCACTACATTAAACTATTTTTACCCTTGTAAAGTTCACTAGAACCCCAGTACTCATCTTTTCCAGCATCTTCTCTATTATTCCCTACTAGCTGCAACTCAGAACTGTTGGTCTCAGTCCAGACTACCAATCCAGATAGCCAGTATGATATACTTCTGTATCTTTTTCTTCTGGTGAACCCAGCAGCCTGGTTGGTTATGTGCTCCTCTATACATATTTGCTGTCCGGTTTTAATCTTCAGTTTTTATGAAGGTGTTTTGTGGGCTTCAACTGGTCCGATAGTATCATTGAAAGTTCATGCTATCTCTTTACTCAGGAATTTTCAAGTTGGTTTTTGTCACCTTAGTTTCTTAGTCTTTTACATCCAGTGATCTTATTGTGGGTTTGCACTGAAGTCTTATGCAACACCAGTAAACATTTTTCTATGTTCATGTAATGTTATACTTTGCATAGATGCCTGAGCTCCCAATATCAGGAAGGACCTGACTTGATGTACCTGGGTAACAGCCACATGAGGCCAAATGATCAACAGAAGACAGTTATCATAATGCAGATATAATTTCCAAATTTCGTCATAGGTGGGATTTGAACCTTAGACCTGCCACTTGGAGGATGACAACCCAACTACTACACTAGGATCACCATCCTCTTTCTTAATCTTATTTAAGATCTCTTTTTTATATCTTAATATAATAATATTAAAATATTACTTTATAAAACAACATTATTCTTCTGTACAACTCTATCAAATGCTTTCTTTAATTGGTTTTATCAATATATATGACTACTATATAATATTCTTTAACAACAATAAAAAAAAGCTTACAATATAACTAACAAATCTAAATATTCAAAAATATATTCCTTATTTTTATCTTCTCAATCTAATTTTAATATTACTAATATATTTACTATAAACTCAACTATATTTATTAATAACTAATTAATTCTAGACTATATATTTACTAATTGTATTTATCAAATACTAAGACTATTACCTTAGATTTTCTTCAACTTTTTTATACTTAAAATTAATTTAAAATAATTAATAATAATATTATATAAAAATAGAGGTGAAATTGTTTTAAATAAGTAGCACAAATATAGTTTAAAAAATCTTTAATATAATTACTTCTATTATTTAATAAAATTTTTATTTTGGTATTTTAAAAATAATAATAATATTTATATATATTTTAAATTTTTTTAGATCACTTTATATTTTTTTAGATAATACAAAAAGTTAACTTTAATTAGTTTTTTTTTTTTTTTTTGTTTTTGCTAAGGCCATTAGTTATTGATAACTACTGTCTTTATTGTGAATTTAATTATAGTTACATAACTTGTATAAGGTTATCTCTATACTATACTAGCAGATAGTGCACAAGCTCTTATATACCTATTTAAATGTTATCTAATCTAATTTTGATCTCTCTGTTTGTATGTTTATTAAGCCATTACACATTTTAGAATATATCATCTAATTGTAAGATTTCAGAGAGCCTTCTTGCTAACTAATTTCTTATATTTAATTTTTGTTAATAAAACTCATTCTTGTAAAGTTCACACAACTCCAGTATCAACTTCATAGCATATTCTTAGTACTTAGCTATATTCTGCTTTAGACTTCAGACTTCCAACTCAGATAACTCAGAAAGACTGTATTCTGTTTCTAGTACTCTAAAGGTCTGCTTTTCAAGATTCTTTTCTTTTGGTTTGAGACTTCTAGCCATTTGGTTAATAGTACTTTCATTTGAGGTTCTTGCCTATTCAATGTTTTCTATATTAGTATTTATTTTTTAGGTCTAGTCTTTATAGTAATACTGTCAAAGATTCATGCTATCTTTCTATTTAGGTCTTTTTAAATAGGCTTCAGCTTTTCAGTTCTATAAATTTATATGACTACAAGAACTTATTTTAGATTTGCATTGCCTAATGCTAGTTTGCATTTTTTTATATAATTTTAACATTGCACAGATGCTCTATAACCTGCCAGTCATATTGGTGTGATCATAGTTACAGTTATCTTATTCCAACTGATCAACAGAATGCTGTCACTATAATATCACCTGTGTATTATATAGAAGATTATTTAAATTTTTTACTATCAGTAAGTTTTGAACTTACTATCTACTACTTAAAGAGTTGATAACTTATCCATTTTACTAAATCATTACATCTTCAACTTTAATTAGTTAAATTCTAAAAAACTATAAAAGAATTTTAATAATAAATTTTTTATAACTTATTTTTAAAAATTTATATATTAATAAGTTTTAAACTAATTTTAATAGTTTTATTACTGTTAGAACCTATTCTACAACTTTACATAAATATTTAATTAGTAAAAATTTTTATAATTAAAATTACAAACAAAATATATTATTAAGTTTATATATAATTTTAAAATAGTATATTCTAATCTTAATTTGATACTTTTAAATATATAAGAATTAAATATAAGGTGAGTATAGGTATTATAGTGCATTACCAATTATGACACAATTGCAATATCTTGTGAACCATTGATCAGAATTGTATGATTTTGGTACTAATCAATTCATCTCAGTGAGACGAATTGATTGGTATTAGAATCATGAGATTTCAATTACCAGATCATAAGATATTGCTGCTAAAGTAATATTTATTATTTTTTCTATATATATATTTATAAGAAAAATTGTATATATTTATTAAAAAGTTTTTTTTATTAAAAATTTACTATGCAATAGATAGAGGGTGTTCTTCAAGTATTTAGTCAATCAGTCAGAACAGATCTAGAAACAAATTTTAATTAGTAAAAAAAAAAAATAGTTAACAAAGCAAATGTGTTTAATTATTGTATCAAAATTAAATTTAGTAGAAAATCATTTAACTGTATAGACAACTTGGATATATTACATTCTACCAATTACAGCTGTTATTATTATTCTTAGAATGCCTTATTATAAATTAACCAAATGATTATTCTGCTGATTCGATAAATTATTAGTTTTGGCATAATCAATGTAAATGTTTATTATTTACGAAAATATTCTAAAGCTTGGTGCTGATCAATTTGTAAATTAAAATCATGTAAAACTACAATATACGTATGTACTTACCTTGCTTTAAACCATCTTTGTAAACAATAAACATTACATTGATCGAATCAGTGAAATAATCATTTAGTTAATTCTTTACAAGATGTTCCAGGAATAATAATAATAGCTGTAAAGATTGAATTATACTCAGAAGATATATTGCTCAGCAGGAGAGTATAGTAATGAGTAGATTTTTTGTTAAATATAAATTACTAATAAAAAACCCTAGGTCACTTACATTCTACCAAATTCTTGATCCTGATTTAGACCCAGATATAATAGGAGTCTATAGTATTTATCATTTTAATTACAAATGATGAAGGCCAAGATATTCTTTTTTTTCAAATTTGCACTTATTGTTTGAAAATTTTTATTGATTAACTAGAAAAACAATTGTTTAAATATGACAAATTAGAACTGGAATTGTTATTGTTAGTTTGGTTAATTCATTATTCAAATTTTTCAGATGTAATAATCATTAAATAGTAAAATAAAGGTCATTAAGGTTTAAATTTGAGAGATATTTGCACTATTTTTAGTAAATGCAATCAATCTAATGTGTAACAAATAAGCCATATTTGTTCATACATAAATAAGTAAATAAGTATTTAAGCTGCTTTAAACTGAAATTTTATCTGTGTATTGTCTTTTACCCATGAATTTATTGAATTTTAAAAATTTACAATAAAAAAAAAACATAAAATTGCACATTATGCTATTTAAAAAAGATAAAACTATCCAAATAATGCTATTGAGAAAGCCCTTAAAGCTATAAAAAACTCCTCAAATAATTCTAAAGCTCCAAGTGTAAGGAGTATCATATGAGACTTTGATATTTCAGAATCAACTCTTAGATGTGTCATTCAAAATGATGGTTCTCTCAAATGTCCAGAGCCTAATAAGGTTTTAACCAACCATGAAGAAGAGCAACTGGTTAGTTATTGCTTAAACATGCAAAAACTTAGTTTCAAATTGTTAAGATTTGGTGTAAATCATTATGTGATGGATATTGTTCATAGAGATAGATACTCACATCCTTTTAACAAGAATAAACCAGGCCAAGCATGATAGAAACAGTTTCTAGAAGATCACTTCGAACTTTTATTTCACATCGCACAGGCTCTAAATGAAGCATGTGCTCAAAAAGCAAATACTATTATAATTAATGACCATTTCAACAAAATTCAAAAAATTCTTACTGAATATTCGCTTATTTCTGATCATATCTAAAATATGAACGAGACAGATTCTTTTTTTTACTTTTTTTTTTTTTTGAATTTGGGTCTTAAATCTGAGTGAAATTATATCTAATAATTATATATGAGATAGGTTTTATTATTAAACCTAAACTTTAAAAAGTTATTGCAAAAAAAAGTGCATATCAGATTCATTGTGTTTCTTATGATAGCAATCATGAACACATCTCTATATGTTCAACTATTTCAGCTGTCAGAATATATATACCTCTATTAATAATATACAAAGGAAAGCAAATAATCTCAGGCCTTTTAGACAGTGCTCCTGCTGACACTGTTATAGGTTTAATGATACAAAATATATGCAGAAGAGCCTATTTAGAAAATACATAGAGCATTTTTTTAATTTTATTTTTCCTATTCGTTCTGTTTTATTAATCCTTGATAGACACAAGAGTCATGTCAATTATACTTGTATCAATTTCTATTATGAAAATAACATTCTTCTTTATGCCCTTCTATCATATACTACCCACATCTTACAACCTGCAGAGTTATCATTTGCTTAACTCAAAAAAATATATAATGGTGAATGTGACAAATTCTTTACTAATAGCGATAAGCTAGTAACAAAATACACATTTGCTAAACTCTTTGAACAGACCTATATTAAAACATACACCTCAACTGCTATATGTAATGCTTTCAAGGCAATGGGAATATGGCCCTTCAATTCTGATGTTATTAGTTCTAATCATCTGAAGCCCTTAATAGCAACACATAGATTCAACCTACTAAGTCCTGAACAAACCACTCATCTGCTTGTTATACTAACTTTTTCTTCTTTACCTAGCTACATTCCAAGTTACCTTGGCCTGACCTCTACAAATAAAGAACTATGGTCAGAGATAGATGCACTTAATAAAAGAGTTGAATATTTGGAAACAAAACTAGAATTCTTTAAAAATCCTGGTACCAGTCCTTTGCAGCTGATGCTTAAGTACCCTTCGCACCATCATTCGAAGCAGACAGTAGATCTGCAGATGAAGTGCAGCCCAAAACTTGACAACCTAAGAAAAAACAAAAAACTATGCTCTTCGCTTAGCTCCTTACTAATAAAGAGTCCTTACGTTCATTGAAAGAAGCAGAAGAGAAGGCAGAAAGAGTAGTCAATAAAAAAAAAGAAAAAAAAGAGTCAACCATCCAAAAATGAATAGTACAAAAGACAGAAAAGGTGCAGAAGCAAGAAATATGCAGGCAAAAAAAAAAAAAAAAAAGAATGTTTGAAGATAGATCAATAGCATATTAGAGAGGAAAAGCAGCTTAAAAAAAAAAGTAATTAAAAAAAAGGATTTACTTGATTATCTATGTGCACTATTTTTAATCGTTACCTTGAAGATCCTGATTTTTGAAAAAATTTTTTGTATCTTATAAAAAGTTTTTTTTTTCTAATAAAAAAAAAATTTTTTTTAAAAAACTTTATATCAAGTTAAAATACATCTACTTTAATATAAATTTTTTTTTTTTTTTCACTAAGGCTGTAGTTATCGGTGGCTATTGCCTTTATTGTATTTTAATTATTATTACATAACTTGTACAAGGTGAGTATACAACTAGCCACATGTACAACTTTTAGTTGTCTAATTTAAGTAGTCCGCCCGCACAGCAGGTTCTACACTAGCTGTTATACCTGCAATCTACTAGGAGATTACCTAATTTAAACACTCTGATCCCTATACTTATACCGACAAATAGTGCACAA